TATTTTTTTGAATTAATGATATTTTTAATTAAATTGTTAAATTAACACAATTAAAAAACAGTAAAACCTGCTAAAAGTAATGCCTATGAACAGTGGTTTCAAAGGTTTTTTGTTGTAAATTCCAATTTTTAATACAAAAATTACAATACATTCCTGCTCTTGACAAATTTGTATGTATACAAATTATCACAAAGTATTTAAATATGTGTCATAATTATTGACTTCAATTTGTTTATCATCAATATAAGTGATTATGTACACATCTCCATGTTGTTATATTTAAACCAACAATGATTAATAAATATGTTCTTAAAATATAATCAACTGTTTATCACATTTAATAATATCTCTTTTAATATTTATTTTTAATATTCAATAAAATAACCTAAAAACTTTAATCTAAAAAATATTAAAAGAACCAAATGGAAATTTGTGAAGCTCTTCCAACTGATTTGGATGAAATTTACTCTATCGAAAAAACGTGTTTTCCACCTCTTGAAGCCGCAACGCGTGAGAGTCTTAACTCGAGAATAAACACTTTTAAAAACTCTTTTTATGTTGGAAAAATTAATGGTAAAACAATTGGGTTTATAAATGGCGCAGTGACTGACCGAACAACAATTTGCGACGAAATGTTCGACGACACAACAATGCACATAAAAGATGGGAAATATCAATCAATATTCGGTCTCGACGTTTTACCTGAATTTCAGCACAGAGGGTTGGCACAGCAGCTGATGAGACACTTCATTAAGAACGCCAAAGAGAATGGGAGACTCGGTCTCATTTTAACGTGCAAAGACAAACTGATTGGATTTTATGAACAGTTCGGGTATAAGTCAACTGGCGTTTCAAAGTCAACACATGGTAATGTTGTTTGGTATGACATGATACTTCGGTTTTAATTTAAAATTAAGTTGATTGTATTTGTTAAGAATTTACTTAAGTATCTATTGTTGTTATATTATTAAAGAGGTATTTATACAATATAACATTTTAAAAAATAGATGAAAAAATTGAAATTTTCACGTGTTTTATTGTTATGTTTTTATGATAATTGCAATATTTGTTGTAACATAATTAAAAAAAGATATACCTTATTGGTTGAGTAAAACTTTAAAGGTTTTGTAATCAAATTAAAAATATTTAAAAATAACAAATGTAACTGATTTATTATTTAAAAAACAATTTATATTTTTTGTTAAATAAAATAATAACATTTATCACATTTCATCAAGTGATATATGCCATATTTATAATATTTTAATTTGATTTTTGTTTTATTTAAAAGTTACACATTTGATATTTTTATATATAATCGTATTAAATTTTTTATAGTTATTTATTATAACACAACAAAATATGAAGAAGTCAAAGTTACTCACTTTTGGCAGCAACATGGAACCACCATGACATCAATGTGCTTGCAAAGAGTTTCTCTGAGTACCTTTTGGATTTCGTCTTTCTTCTTCAAACTCTCCTCACAGCATCCACAACACTTGCCTTCAATTTGAATCAACACAGCAACTGCCTCACTATTCTCTTTGATATCGTAAATATGAGCTTTCTCTTCTTTACTGATCTTTTCATTGAAAACTTCGTTGATTTTCATTACTTTTTGGAAGAAGGTCATATGATCGCAGGTCTTTTCACAACTCTTTTCGCAGCATTTCTGACACTCCATCTGAGCTCGTGTTTCTCTTAAGATGTCTTCCAAGTAATACTTCTTGCAGTACTTTCCACCAGCTTTTGGGCAAGATCCACAGAACGAGCCAGCCTTTGTCTCCTTTGTGATCTCTTCGACTGTCTTCAAGTCCTTTTCTTTGATAGCATTCTTGATAGTAGTTAATGATATATTTCCACACCCACAGACAATCTCTTCACTTTCAATGTCAGCGATCTTCTTTGTGGTGTACTGTGAAACAGCACGCTTGATGATGGTGTAGAAAAATGAAGTTGAAAAGAGCTTGTCCTTTGGAAGCTTGGGTTCTTGAAGTTCCTTTTCTATGTCCAAATTGGTGATTGTGAGCAACTGTTCGACAGTCTTACCAATGCAAAGTCCACACAAAACATCGGCCAAAACAGCAAACTTCTTGCATCCAAAGAATTGATACTTTGCATCAAGTACTTTTCCATCTGTATCAACGTGGAGATAGAATCTCATTGCATTGTTGCAACATTTGCAATAATAGTCTGCGGCGATCACTTTTCCAGTCTTGATGCAATCTGGACAAAGAACACCTTCGTGTTCAGGGTGTTCCATATGTTGGGCGTATTTGCAACAGCATTCACATGTTGGCTTTGACATTGTTTGATGGATTAAGTGGTTCTATAAACGATTATATTCTCTATGACACGTATTATTGTTATATTTTTACACTAAAAAGTACAGTTCAAACCAAGAAAAATAGAAGTATCATAAATTGAGTGTATCATTATTGGTTTATTGCAAAACAATCACAAATTATATCGATAAAGTACATTTATTAATAATGGTTATTTGTTTTATTGAATTACAATGACTAAATTTGTTTGTTACATCGTTCTCTAGATATGAAGAAGATTTTGGAAGGCAGTTTTTAATTATTAAATGGAATAATGTCACTATTTTATTGAACTATTTATTTTGATAAATTGATTCAGAAAACAGTGGTTTAGAACAATAAAAACGAAATAGTAAATGTTTTTATATAAAAAAATTCTTATATTAATGTTCTCTAAACATGATGAATAATTTGGACGTTGTAAGTTCGAAATATTTGTAGATGTCATTAATTTTAATATTATTCTATTATAATAAATTATAATAAATAACTAAATATATTATCTTGTGTTGTCCAGAAGAATAAAACAAAACATTTACCAATAAAAATAAATTTGTAATCAATACAAGCAATGCATCGGGAAGTTTTAGAAACTGTAACAAACTTGAAATAAAAACCTCATAATATTTGGTTGTAAAATAATATAATATTATATTACATATCTTATTCAATTGTTTCATACTACAGTTATGTTTAAAATAAAGTCAAGTATATTTTTAATATTTAAAATTGTATACAATTTAATTAAGTTTTGTGTTTGTATAATTTTAATGTAATTGATTTATATTATAATTGTTAAAATCTATGATGCTATATATAAACCTTTTTCTTATGCAAGATTTTAAAAATTGTATATTTCATTAAATTTAACCTTCATATAATTAAATAATTGCCAACTAAAAAACATTTAAATTTATAATTATAACAGGGTCAGCAGGGTCCAGTTTTAAACAACTTCTTGACAATTTTTAATACGTGTCAATATATATTTTAGTTTTAGCGTATTGCTAACAAAAAACTTAAAAAGTTTTTTTAAAGTTGAAATGTTTTTAAAAATTGGTAAAACTAAAGTTAACGATTTAAACAAAATTTTGTATAATTTAAATCATTACAATGTGTAACAATCCAGTTTAGAGAACAACAATTGAACATTAAATAGCATGTGAAATGATAAAATGCAAAAATTTTAAAATAAATAACAATATTCACTCATCATAATTGAAGTAAATATTAAAGATACTTACAACTGATAAAAATTATTAGAAATGATTTTTGTAATTTCAATGTAAATTTTTATTTAAACAATTAATATACTTTTTCTACATGTACATTAATATTATTTGTTAATGTTTATGTTGGGATATACATACATATGTTTAATTGTTAGTTTAACAAAGGTTTTGAATTGATCATTTGTGTCGATTTTAAATTAAAGTGTTAATTAAACAACCAAATAAAAGTATTTTTATTTTCTTATGCAACAATACAAAACAAACAGTGTGTTTTTTAGAATGTAAAACAATATTACTTTCAAATAGAGTAAAACTAATCTTTAGTTAATTTTCTTGATATAAACGATAATTCATAATAAGATAATAATAAGTTATATAAACTAATTTTCCAAAGTCGATAGTGGGCATTTTTCATTATTGTGTATTGAATCAGGATTTAGTATGCTAAAAAACACCCGTTTTTGGCGTTTTCTGGTTTTCAAGTAAAAATTTGCAAAGAAGTATTCGAGGTTATTAAAAAATATATATTTTCGAATTAAAGTTGCACAAAAAAACAAAGTAAAAAAATCTGGGTTTTTTCAAGTTTTACAAAAATCAAAAGTGCATTTAAAAAACGAGTTAATTTTATTGATGTTATGGGAAACAAAAAAATGACATATCGTGGGAAATT